ACAGAATGGTAGAACACAAAATGTTAGGGCTGAAAGGGACATTAGAATATGGAGAGTTAGAACCAAAAGAGAAATGTTAGAGCTGAAATGGACAATAGAACACAATGCCAGAGCTAAAAGAGAACAGGATGATAGAGCTAAAATGGACAATAGAACAGGGAGTGATAGAGCGGACATAGGTAATAGAACACAGAATGTTAGAGCTGAAATGGACAATAGAATATTAGATATTATAGAACAACAGAGCACGAGAACATAGAATGTTGGAGCTGAAAGACAACAGAATGATGATAGAGCTGAAAGAGACATCAGAACACAGAATATTAGGGTTAAAAGGGACATTAGGACAGAATGATGATAGAGCTGAAAAGGACACAAGAACAGAATGTTCAGACTGTGAAAGACTAAAACTCTGATTTAGGATAAACCATAAGTCCAGAGGACTGAACATGAAAATGTGCTACTCACCTCCCACCAGAGAGGTGATGTACATAAGATGCAGAATTAGACATACATTTTTGGGCAAGGACAAAGTGAGATTTTATTTTCCTGGCCCATTTTGTTGTAAGTATTTTATTTGCTCCTACGGCCTCATTTTTTCACCTTCTAAAAGTATCACAGGGAAAACTCTTTCAGCCAACCCTTTCTGGCCAGGTAAGAGTCCTGTGAGTCTGCTTGTTAGAAGGTGCCTGTTTCCCTGTGCCTCTCCAACTCCAGTTAGCTCTCCCAGACCTGTCACCACCTACAGGCTCAATTCCACTCACACTCTGAGAGACTGCTTTTGACTCTGGGTAGGAGGTATATTGGGGTTCTTGGCTTAGAGCACCTGCAAATCAATATTATAGGCTCATGGGAGGATCTCAGATGAAGCCTTTCATTTTACAGTTCAGGCAACTCAGGACCAGAGAGGGGAAGGGACTAGTCCAAGATCATTCAGGACTCAACCTCTGACTGAAAGCAGTAGCATAGTTTCGTGGACCTGGAGTTAGGAGACATGGCTTCTGATGTCTGCCTCAAACACTCATTAGCTGTTTGACCCGTGGGCAAGCCATATAGTCAATTGCTAAGAGCCTCAGTTTCTTCATTTATAGTTTAAATGCTTAAACCACCTTACTTACAGGGGTTGTTTTAAGAAAAGCACTTTGTAAACCTGCAAGCTTTATAGAAATGTGAATTTTTATTATTATTCATGTCTGCTACCAGTGCTACCAGGTCTCTTCTTGCTGCTGGGGCCCAGGGTCTATTATGTAGGAAGGAAGGGAAGAAAGAATGAGGGAAGGAGGAAGAAAAGAAGGAAGAAAGGAAGGAAGGGAAGGAAGGGAAGGAAGGAAGGAAGGAAGAAAGGAAGAAAGAAAGAAAAAAAGAAAGAGAGAAAATGAACAAAACTCCTTGTTAATGAACTACAAGGCAGTGGGTAATTATGGAAACTACTTCTGAGGGCTTCAGTTCATATCCCAGATACTACTACAACCTCTCTGGGCCTCAGTTTCCCCATCTGCAAAATGGAGGTGGACTACGTGATCTCTAAGCTCTGAATCCTGTGACCTAATACACTAGCACAACTTACCAGTCCATAAATTAATTCAACTAAGCCCTGCAATGAAAGACTCGCTGATCACATAGAAGTATGTTTAAGAGATCCCAGGAGAGAGCTTGTGCCTGAGGCCAAGGAGCTAAGGAGGCCCCGGAGAGAGGGGCTAGGAAGGGCAGGGGGGGAGAACTCCTTAGTCCCGAAACCTAAAGAACTTGGTATTTTTAGCCATGGTGTATGAGGAAGCCAACTGACTGAGTGATGTCGTTTGTACCCTGACTAAAGTGTGGGAAGTAATAACATGGGAGTTCTTAATAACACGGGCAGGGAGGTATTATTAATAACATGGGTAGAAAAGTGTGAGTGTGAATCGCTGTAAATGAAATCACTCTAAGCCAAGCACTGCCTGTATCTCTCTGAATTCCCACAGGGCCCCTTGGCTGACTCCTAGGTCCTTGGGGAGAAGTTGTGGAGTGACTAGGGAGGGGGAAAGAGGGGAGTGAGAGAGAAAGCAGGAGGGAGGGAGAGGCAAGGGGAATGGGGAGAGGGAAAGAGGGAAATAAGTAGGGGGAAGAGAGAAAGAGAGAGACAGAGACAGAGAGAGAGAGCCAGTCCGTTAAATGATGTCAAAGAGACAGGATATGGTGGAAAGAGCATTGACCTTGGATTCAAATCCCACCTGATGCTTAGTGGGCGAGGCACAACAAACAAGTCTATTGATCTCTCTGACCCTCATTTCCCTCACATGAACATGATATGACCTACAATACCTCATAGGCCTGTTACAAAGAGCAAATGGTATAATAAAGCGTGTAATGTGATTTACGAGCCTTCAGGTGCCACATCAATGTCAGTCAGGCATAGTACTGTTTTTAATTCTTTTTTTTTTGTTTGTTTTTTTTTTGGTGAGGCAATTGGGGTTAAGTGACTTGCCCAGGGTCACGCAGCTAGTAAGTGACAAGTGTCTGAGGCCAGATTTGAACTTGGGTCCTCCTGACTCCAAGGCCAGAGATCTATCCACTGCACCACCTAGTTGCCCCAAATAGTACTGTTTTTAGAAAGGCTTGGGTTCAAGCCCTAGGAGTCGGTATAGGTGCAGTGGAAGAGTCAGAGCCCTAGGTTTGACCCCAGTTTGGCTACTCATTGGTAGTGTGACCTTGGGTGGTTCATTTCCCTTCTCTGGACCTCATCTGAAAATGATCACATGATCTCTAAGGTCCCTTCTAGTTGCCATTTTGATTATGCAGTGCTGGTCACTATAGGCTCCAAGGGTCCATGCCAAGTGCCCCAATCATTCCCCAAGTCTAAGACGATACCAAATGGGCCATCCACACTCCCCTTCCTTTCTGCTTCCTGTTCCCATTCTGGGTCCTCAGACCCTCCCCAAAACCACATTGGGTCCTATTCTCAGTCTAGCAATGGCTCTTAGAAGGGACAGAGGGAGAAATTGGCACTGGGGGGAAGGATGAACGGAGAAGGAAAGGGTCTCCATGTTTTTAAAAATTCTTATAAATGGATAATTATTGCTTTTATATCATTTTCTTTTCCAAATAGATCCTTTCCCTCTCCCCTACCCAGGAAACTATCCCTTGCAATAAAGACTTATAAAAGAGGGGGAAAAAAGTAGTCTTCAAAAAAAATCAACCTATAAATCATGTTAGACCATATATGCAAGATCCTACACCCCTGAGCTCCCACCTCCATAAAGAAGCTGCTTCATTTACTTTTGACAAGATCTGTTAGCAGGCAGCTAGAGCTCATGTCTCCCATCCTCCCTCCCAGTGCCTCAGTTACCTCGTTTATAAAAAGTGGGTAGTAACATGCATCTATTTGGTAGAGGAACTGTGGTGGCAAAATGTGTTGAAAGGGAGCATGGGCCAGAGGATGGAGAACTGGCCTCAGAGGCAGGAAGAGCTGGGTTCAGGAGACAGTGTGGTGCAGTGGCTAGTGATTAATTTGGGGTCAGAGGAGTAGTCAGGTGTCAGAATATTAAACTCTGGCTTTGCCACTTGTTTCTGGTGTGACCCTGGGCAAAGCTCTGAGCTTAAGTTTCCTCTTCTTTAAAAAGAGGGGATTGGTGGGTAGAGCACAGGCCCTAGAGTCGGGAGGACCTGAGTTCAAATGTGGCCACAGACACTTACTAGCTGTGTGACCCTGGGCAAGTTACTTAACCCTGATTACCTCCAAAAAAAAAAAAAGAGGAGGGGATTGGATTTAATAATCTCTAAGGTTTTCCTTTAGCTCTAAATCTATGATGATCTATGATCCAAGGCCCACCTAGGATACCCACTGGCCAGGTGACCCCGGCTAAGTCATTTAAGCTCTGGGACCCCAGACAAGCCCAAATCTTAACAAAGCTGCAGACATACACTGGTAGAAGGAGTTTCTCAATCCCAATGAAATTATAGGTAAAAAATAAAATAAAACATGTTAAAACAAAGCAACATAGACATGGAAATATAGAAGCAGCTAGTGTGGTAGAGGGGAAAAGAGCCTTATGTTAGAACTTAGAGGGCCTGGGTTCAAATCCAGACTTGCTGCCACTTAATCCCTGTATGACCCTGCATTCTGCTTCTTAAGAGCTCTTCTGTCTCTATACGCACACATATGCGTACACACACACACACACACACACACTCTTAAACTCCAGGTCAAATCCACAGGAAGACAGGCATCCAGAGACCTCCCCAGAGACAGTCACACACACAGACACTCTGAGACAGGGGCATGGACGCATGTTTGCACAGGTATAGTCTCACACCTATGGCAGGTGGCATATTACATTATCAAGGGCTACAACTGTAGTGAATATAGACTGCATCCCCAAGGCCGACTGGGATAGCTGACAGTCAATCTATAAATAATAACAAAGAAAAATCCTCACGTTTTTGTATCACCAGTCTCCAAGGAGCCCAGCCTCCTATGGACAGGAATACATGAGTTATTCTACCAGGCCTGACTGGAGGGAGATTCCTCTGAATTAACTGGGGTTATTTGGGAAGCACAGACCCTAATACGTGACTAGGATGTCCGGACCCTAATTGTATGCCTGATTCCAGGGCCAGCCTTACACTGGTAGGGAGGAGGGATGCCTAAATGGTGGGATATGAGTCACAGAGAGCTAACCTCCCGATTGCAAAATATTCCTTCCAACTAACAGCTGAAATTATATCACTGTAAATTCATGGATCCATAGAATGTCAAAGCTCAGAAGGGACCTTAAAAATGCCAAGTGTTAGAGATGCAAGGGACCTTAGAAAACAGAATGTCAGAGCTGGAACCTTAGGACAGAGAATGTCAGAGCTGGAAGGGACCTTAGAATAAAGAATGTTAGAGATGGAAGGCCCCTCAGAACTTAGAATGATTACAAAGTAGAGACAGAGCTAGAAATGATAGATATCTATGGATAGAAGGGTAGCAGACAGAGCTTAAGACCAGGACTCAGAAAGACCTGGGTTCCAATTCAGCCCCTGACACATATTAGCTGTATGGCATTGGAGAAGTCACTTAACTGCTCTGGGCCTCAGTTTCCTCATCTATAAAATGAAAGGGTTGAATTTGATGACCTTTAAGGTCCCTTCAAGTCTAAATCTATGATCGTATCCATGGAGCTCTTAACCAAGACCATGTATCTAAGAGTCAGCTGGACACCATGATAAGATAAAGAGCTCCAGTGCACACTGACAGTCACGTATGTGTATACACACACAAACACACACGCACACACACATTCTCATTCTCTCTCTCTCTTTCTCTCTCTCACAGCTCCATCAATGAGAGAAATTGCTTCCGAAATGGACTGTGCAGGCTGGATGAGAATTAGTGGAAAGGTGCCATTAGTATGCAGAGAGCCTACATCTTGGGGCCCTGCTGAATGGGGCCTGTTTGATTACCCTCAATCCCTTCCCGCCACCTCCCCTGACTCTGAGACATAAGGGTGAGTGATGAACCAGTTGTGACTACTCTGGACACTCATACCTCCATTCAGAGATGGCCCCCTCCCTGCCCTGCTCCTTGCTGCTGGCTGCAGAGCTGTCTGACGCCTATGTGGCTGCCTCTTTATAAATGCAAGGCATGGGGACAGGTCCTCCACCTTGGAGGAGATTGGAGGGGAGGGAGGAGGCTGCTGGAGAGGCAATAGCAGGGAGTGTGGAGGAGACAGACAAGCTAACGCGCATGCAGTGAATGTATGGTTGGACTTTCCCCTCTAAACCTTGGAAGTCTACATCTAACTCCCAGGGGTTAGGTGTGGGAGGGGGTGCAGAAAAGGAGAGGGAGGGCTGGCTGCAGCAGGGCCTTCCACGGGTCTGCCTTTTGGGCTCAGCCCCTGCCCCCTAATCCTTTCCCTTCCCTGCAGGGTAATTTCTTATGAGAGAACAGTACAAAAACAGGAGTGGGGGAAGGGAGGTTTGGAGAAGCAGAGCAAGGCCCTGGATTGGAAGCCAACCTCTGCCTACCCTCTCGCTGCCCTCCACTGGGCTGCGAGCCCCTCAGGAGTAAGGACTTTGACCTTTCTTTTGTAGTCCCAGCACTTTGCATGGTGCCTGGCACAAAGGCCATTTGAACCTCGACAGTTGGTGCTTTCTGGCCTGCGAACCGCTTTCCATATTGATATTTACTTTGTACATATATTTTGGACATTTTTCTATCTGGATACATGCTGCTTTTCCTGAGGAGAATTAAGGTCCTTGAGGGAAAGTCTATTTTGATTTGAGTTCAAGATCTCTAGTTCCTAGCACAGTAGTTGGATACAGTAGGTGCTCAAAAATATTTGTTAAATATTAGAAGGAACCCTGGACTTGGGAGTCAGGAAAACTGGTCTCACCACTCACTTATCCCTGGGATAATGAAGAAAAATAAAATAAAACATAGTACTTCAGAACAGGAAAGAACCTTAGAGCTCATCTGGTCCAATCCCTTTATTTTATAGGAAAGAGAGGGATAGAGGGAAGAAATAAACAATTTTTGTGGGGGGGGAATAAACATCTATATAGCACCTACTATATACCAGGCACTGTACTAAGCATATTACAAATATTATCTCATTTGATCCTGGGAGGCAGGTGCTATTATTATCTCCATTTTACAGATGAGGAAACTGAGGCAGACAATAGTTAAGTGACTTGCCTAGGTCACAGAGCTAGTAAGTGTCTGAGGTCACATTCGAACTCAGGTCTTCCTGACTCCAGGCCTAGAGCTCTATCTACTATGCCATCAACCTCTAGGTGAGGAAATTGGGGGCACAGAGGAGAAAGAAGCTTGTCCAAGGCCACATAGGAGAGCTGAGACTATGATTCCAGTCTCCTGACTCCCACCTGTGGCTCCTTCACTAGACCATTTCTGGCTATAATCCAGAAACCCTACTCAGTCTTCAAAGGGCAGCCCACATGTCCCCTCCTCCATGAAGCCTTCCCAGAGTCCTCCCAGCTAAATGAGACCTTGCCCCAGCCCCCTTCTAGACTCTCATAGCATGCCGTTCTCTTATTTCTTATGGCACTTCATAACAACCATTCTTTATGCTGTGGCTTCAGTCTACAAAGCTTTTCCCCACATACTACTGAACTGAACCCTCACTTCAAATATTCTTTGTTAGGGCACAGTGACTTGTCTACATGTCTTATCTTTTGCACGACTACAAACATTCTGATGGTATCGATCCTGGTCTGTTCACTGCTGTCTCTCTCATAAACATAAGGATGAATAAAGAATAGGTGCTTAATAAATGTCTGTGAATAATAAATGTCTGTGAATGAGTGAATGAGTGAATGAATGAATCAAGGGGCATTCAGAGGGACAGATGGAAAAATGTAACACAGACAGAGTATTAACAACACAATCTTATCACATAGCCCAAAAGCAAATCATAGGTACCGCCGGGGGCAGAATAGGTGCTCAATAAATGTCTGTGAATGAATGAATGGATGGATGGATGGATGAAAGAATGAATGGATGAATGAATGATCAAGGGACATTTAGAGGAACAGAAAGACAAAAATGATACATAAAGGACAGGACTACAGAATCCTATCACATAGCTCATAGGCTACTGAGGCATCTTGGTCGCATAGTGGGGAGAGGGCTAGATCTGGGGTCAGCAAGACTTGGGCTCATCAACTGTTGCTTCTGACATTTCCTAGCTGTGTGACCCTAGGCTGTCTATTTCAGTTTCCCCATCTGTAAAATGGGGATATTAATAGCACCAACCTCCCAGAGTTGCTGTAAGGATCAAATGAGATAATATTTGCACAGCACTTGGCAAACCTCAAAATCCTCTATAAATGCCAGCTATGAGTTAAAACTGTCCACAAAGATGGACACAAAACAGGTGCTCAAAAATGTCAGTGAATGAATGAATGTAGATCAAGGGGAATTCAGGACACTGAATACAACACTGGAATCACATGAGCTACAAAATCATATCAAGGGAAGTCTCCTGGGCTTGACTGCCCTGACCACAGACCATCTCTCCACCTCCTACGAAATGGTTAGGGATCAGAGTGGGTCCCCTCCCCTGGCATGAGTCACAGTGGATAGTTACCCTTCACACCAAAAGAAGGGAGAATCTAACACAGACCTATAAAAAGGTCAGGACCATGGACAGACACCATAGCATCTTCAGTCAGGAAGAGTCCTTGAACAGCCGTGGATACCCATGTCCTTCTCTTTAAAAATCACTGGGGAATGGGATTCTAAATGCCTCCTTCAGTACTCCACTCCAATTCTAAATTCTGGAATAGTAATAACAGCTGACATTTACATAGCACTTTACAGCTACAGAAAACCTTGCATAGATTTTCATATGAGATCCTTACAACAGCTCAATGAGACAGACAGTGAATGTATTATGAGCTCTGTGTTTACAGGTGAGGAAACTGAGGCTCAGAGAAGTTGGTTTTCAAAATTACTGAATGGCAAAGTCATAGCTTAAACCCTTGTTTACTGACTCCAGGCCCAATGCTCTTTCCACTATATGATGTTTTCTCTTGTAGTAATGAAAGTTCTTCTCAATGTTTAAGCCAACTGCCTCCTACTCTGAAACAATTAAATGTCTGTATGTTGGGTTCTCCCTAAAAAGGCTGGGAGAATTTCCCCCTTAGCCTGCTCTGTTGTTTTTCCTGGCCTGGTGCCCTTTCCCTTCTCCTGGCCCTGCTCACATCAAATAGACAATCCTCCACTTACCAGTTGCTTTTCCAGGTATGCCGAACATCATAGTCATGGATCTGGTGTTTGTCAGCTTGCTCATCCAGGAAATCAAACATGTATTTGATTGCAAGGGGGAGAGCACTGCCCCTGTGAGCTGTGCTGAAGATGGTCTCAAATAGGTCATCCACAAACTTCTGTAAGGTCCCCTGCAGGTGGACAGAAGGAAAAAGGAAGCTCATTTGACTAAGAAATATTAGCCTATTGTTGACAGCATGGTCCCACTAAGGTCAAGATCATGAGTTTGCCTCAGCTATAGCTTTATTCAATGGCCATAGCTAATGGCTAATCTTAGCTACATAAAGAGCCCTAACCCTGGCCACAGAAAGACCTAGCTATATCCACCCACATCTGGAGGCCTAACTATGGGTACAATGTGATTCCTGATCCTAGACACAGACTAAGTCCTAATCAAGCTCTGCACCTGACCCTTGATCAACAAGGGAAACTAGGCAAGAGAATGTAAAGTGGAGCATGTCAATCCTTCCAACCAAGGGAGGTATAATTGCTAATGGCTCCAGAGCAGTCTTCTAGAGTGATGAGAGACAAGATGCTGCTCCCCATACTTTACAGACTATGGTTTTCCTAACCACTACCTAGGAGGGGAAAGCAGAGGGTTTGTCATCTACAGGGATGTGCTCGTCATCCATCCCACAGTCAAGGCCTAGCAAAACACAGAAAATAACGTGGCTTTCTATCAGAAGAAAAACGAGATTGAAATTTGTGAACCAAAATCCTGTAGTTCTACCCACCACCTCATTTGTCCCCCAAGTATATGGAGGTGTGAACTTGGTACATGAATATCTGACCCAATCATCACTGACTATTACCTTGGGACAAGGATGGCTGAGTTCATTTTATAGAATCAGGAGGTTTACAAATGGATTTACATATATTTTCCTAGTCAACAACTATGGGAGCGAAGCAGATTTCTCAGAGAAGTTCTAGGGAATTAATAACAATCCGTCCGATCTTTTCCCAAGTGCTTTAATATTCTTGAAGGGTTTTTACCTGTATTATGTAAAGAACCTCAGGATGACCCTTGTAAGGGAGACAGGGCAGGGATTATAACCCCCACTTTACAAATAAGGATACTGAGGCCTGGAGAAGGTAAATGAGTCATTTCATCTCTCTCTGGGCATCAGTTTCCTCCTCGAAAAAGAAGTGAGTTTGATCAGGAGATCTTGAAGGTCCTCTTCCCAGCTCTAAATGTTATAATCTCAAAGACTAAGCTTTGGCACTCTATGACATAGGTCAGCAGTGACTTGCTCTTCCTCATTCTGAGCCCCCCAGGCTTTTAAGATATATTCAAATTGCTGAAAGCAAGAGATCAGAGCTTGAGAACTGGAGGGGACCAGAGGTCATCTGTTTCACTTGGCCTCCTATTGCACTTCCCCCAATCCAAATCAAGAAGGAAGGAAAGGAAGAGAGAGAAGGGAGGGAGGGAGGAAGGAAGGAGGGAAAGAAGGAAGGAAGGAAAAGAGGAAGGAAGGAAAGGAGGGAGAGAGGGAGGAGACTGGAGAGTGATAGGTGGGACTGAGCATTAACTTCAAAAACCTAGAAATTGAGAAGCAGTATTTTATAGTGTAAAGTGTTGGATTCTTGGGTTCAGATTTTAGCTATGATTTACTACCTGTGAGATCTTAGGGAAAGTCACTTAATGTACTGAGTTTCAATTTCCTCATGTTTTGTAAAATGAGAGGGTTGAACCAAATAACTTTAAGGATCCTTCCAGTTTCATAGCTATGATCCAATGAGTAGTTTTCATAAGGAACAGGAAGGAAGTATCTTCTATATAGCCTCCAGAAGGCAGAAGCAGTATCAATTTGTGGTGGGTGGTTGTTATATTTCTGCTGAATATTTGTGAGTTTCTTCTAGAAAAGACCCAAGCAATGGGCTGATTTACTAAGTAGTGAGCTCCCCCCATCAATGAAAGTATTCAAGAAGAGGTTAAATGGTGGCTTTTCAGGAATGCAATAGTGGGACTTTCTGAATTGGGCTAGATGCTTGACAGGATGACTGTCTCTGCAATCTCCTCCAACTCAAGATTCTGTGTTCCTTGAGGGCATATGTCTTACACCTTTGTGTACCTTCTACTGTAGAATACACCAAACTAGGTGTGCAGTTCATGCTTACCAAATGACAAGTCCGACCTGGGATCACAGGACATGGAGCAGAAAGGGGCGTCAGAGGTAATCTAGGCCAAACCCCTCACTGGAATGAACTGAGGCCCAGAAAAGAGAAGAGACTTGCCCAATTTCACACAATAAGTAGAATCATAACCAGAATTTGAACCCAGGCACGCTGACTCCAAAGCCAGTGTTCCAGCTGTCATTCAGGCAACAGATTCCCCCCAACTGCTCCTTCCCTACCACGCCGTCCCCAGCAGATACCTTCGTGGCCAGCAGCCGGGTCAGGTAGATCTCAGAGACCATCTTGCTGCCTCGGTCCCCTTCCCGCTGGTCTAAGTGGTCATGGTTCTTGACCAGGTGCCACAGCTTGGTGCCACTCTCTAGGTCAGGCGTGATCATCGGGGTGCGTGAGCGCAGGCTGTCTGGACTGCTGGCGGTCCTGAGCATGCTCTCTGGTGAGGATGGTGACACAGCATGGCATGACTGATGCTACCCCAGACAAGCCTAGGGCCCCCATCAGGAGCCTCCCCACTTCCTAAGCCTTCCTTCATGGGGTGATGCCAGTGAGCCCTCCAGGGGAGACTTGCCTGGCCTTGAGCACCATGGGGAAGTCTGCAGAAGGCCATAGTTATCCTCTACAAGAGCACTCTGGCAAAGGTTGGGCCCCAAACATCCCAAACACCTCCTAACAGGCAGATAATAACTTTATCATCCATACTTTGGGGAACCTGTGATCTAACCAGGATGGGTTAGATCACACTAGTGAAGACTATTTGGGGTAGCTAGGTGGCGCAGTGGCTAGAGCTCTGGCCTTGGAATCAGGAGGACCTGAGTTCAAATCCAGCCTCAGACACTTAACACTTATTAGCTGTATGACCCTGGGCAAGTCACTTAACCCTGATCACCTCACCAAAAAGCAAAAAAAAAGGATTGTTACCCATCCAAGCATTTTTAGCTTGTAAGAGTCTTACTCACGCCCTTCCATTAATCCCCTCTAGATAACTCACCCAAGGTGTTGGTGACGTACTTTCGATTCTTCTACTCTTTCATCAACACCAGAGAAACATGAAGGCTAGCTAATTGTCATAGCTCATTTTCACCACATGCCAACCCATACAATCATCTCAATTCTTCTGAAATCTATGAGTATTTCTAGCCTGTAGAATGTTTGTGGTAAGCAGCTCAATGATAAAGATGACGGCATTTCCATAGCACAAAGCACTTTACAAATAGCATTTCCTTTGATCCTCAAAATATCCCTAGGAGGTAGGTGTTATTATTATCCCCATTTGACAACTGAAGAAACTGAGGCAGGTAAAGGTTAAATAACTTGCCCAGGGTCACACAGCTAGTAAATGTCTGAGACTGGATTAGAATTCAGATGTTCCTGATTCCAACACTCTATTCTCTGTGCGAGACCATCCATTTACTCACCGTATCTGCTGAGGGACTTTGTGAAGGTGGAGGAGTTGGAGATATTATAGGCAGAGTTCTGCTTGGGTACCAGGGCCACCGAGGAGCCATCAGTCACCTGTAGTCAGAAAGGCCAAGGGTCAAAGCCCCACTGGGGCCAGCAAGTGCACCTAGCAGGGAGCTTTATGGCCAGGCAACTCACAAGGTGGCTAGAACTTACCACTTATCATCACCCCCTCCCCACACTCCTGCTCACAGCAACAACACAATCCCACAATAACTATCTTGTGGATTCTACCATGCTTTTCAGCGCTCGTCTCCTTCCCCACGGATCCTCACGACAACTCAGATCTTCACACGATTCTTTCATGTCCACAAGGGCCATTGCCTCTGCTTGGGATGCCCTCCCTGCCCCTTATCTCTGTCTTTTGAAATCTCACACTATCTTCAAGGGCCCACTTACATGGCACCTTCTTCATGAAGCTCCCCCAGTGGATGCCAGATCTCCCACCTCTGAGCTCCCACAGCAGTCTGTAGAAGCCGCTTTTATGGGGCTTTAGCATTCCAATTCATACTGCTGTGTTCTATACACAAGCCTTATCTCCTCTACTTAATGTGGCTTCCTGGAGGACAGGAACTCCGGCTTCTGAACATCACTGTACCGTCTTCCCTCCCAAGGCTCTGCACACTCTGGGCTCTTAATGAAATGTCATTTTTTTTTAAAAAGTATTATTTATTATTAGCATTCCTTTTTTCTTTTTTTTGAATTTTGAGTTGCAAATTCTCTTCCTCCCTCCAGCCTCTCCCTCAGCCATTGAGAAGGCAAGCAATACAATCTCAATTATACAGGTGAAATCATGCAAAATGTATTTCCATATTAGCCATGTCACCCCCCAAAAAAAGCCCTGAAAGAGAAATAAAGTAAACAAAAGTCTGCTTCAATCTGCACTCAGCGTTCATCAGTTCTCTCTCTGGAAGTGGACAGCATTTTTCATCATGGGTCCTTCAGAACTGTCTTGAATCATTGCATCTCAATGAAATTTCAATGAACGAATAAAAATTCAGGGAAGAGGGCTGGGAGCTATTATCAGCCCCATTTTGCAGATGAGGAGTCTAACATACTAGAACGGAAGTCAGGAGACCTATGTTTGAGGCCTAGCTCTGCTGTGAACTTGCTGTGTGACCTTGGACGGGTCCCTTCACAAACTATTCAAGTCAAACGTATAGAGCATTTAAAGTAGTAGTAGCAGTAGCAGTAGCAGTAGTAGTAGTAGTAGTAGCAGTAGTAGTAGTAGTAGTAGCAGTAGTAGTAGTAGTAGTAGTAGTAGTAGCAGCAGCAGCAGCAGTAGTAGTAGTAGTAGTAGTGGTGGTGGTAGTGGTAGTAGTAATAGCATTTATATCACAGTTTAAAGAGTTTTTCATCAAATCCTCCTAACAACTCTGAGAGGTAGAGGGTATTATTATCCCCATTTTATATATGAGGAGAAAATGAGTCCCAGAGAAGTTAAGGGACTTGTCCAGGGTCACACAGCTAATAAAAGTCTAAGGCAGGATTTGAATTCAGGTCTTCCTGATTCCAAGTCCAGTGCTCTGTGCACTATGACATCTAGATGCTATCTGGTATGTGCAAAGCACCAAGGCAAACAAGGAGTAGGATAAGGGTGGGGTGGTATGCCCCCTTGCCCCCTCCACCTGCCTCAAGGACCTTATAACACAGTGGAGGAATTAAGACAAGCGCAAAAATAATTACAATAAAGAAAAAAAACAAGTGTCATAGGAAAAGCACAAATGAAGCATCCTGGGATTCAGAGAAAGCTTTGGGGATCAGGGAAGGCATGATGGAAGAGGTAGCAGCTGAGCTGGGTGCTGAAAGACGAGATAAATTTGCAACAGATGGAGACGGGGAGAGTGCATTGCAGGTGCAGGGGTCATATGGAGTAAATACACAGATTCAGAAATGGATAGGACAAATTTGGGGAACGTCAACAAACCCAGATTGGCTAAGAGTAAAAGAGACACTGTTGGAAAGGATTTACAGCAAGCCCTGCCTGAAAACCAGGCTGTGATATTTATATTCAATTCAGTAAGAAATGGGGAGTCGAGGGAGGTGCTTGAGCAGGGGAGGGATGGGAATTTAGAAAAAAATTACTCTGGAGGCACAAAAAGGCAAGATGAGCAAGGGAAGAGATCCAAGGCAGAGAGGTGGGGGGGGGGTTACTATAGTAGAGCATGAGGGCCTGACCAGCATAGGGGAAGTGGGAATCTAAAGAAGGAGGTAGATGCTGAAAAATACTGTGGAAAAAGGACTCACAGGCTGAGCGGGAATGAGCTTTAATTTCCTCTTCAGTGAAACGAGGGCCCTGGATTAAATGATAGCTATGGTCTCTTCTCCAGCCCTGACATTCTATGTTCTAAGGTCCCTTCCACAGCTCTGACATTCTGTGTTCTAAGGTCCCTTCCACAGCTCTGACATTCTGTATTCTAGGGTCCCTTCCACAGCTCTGACATTCTGTATTCTAGGGTCCTTCTCAATTCTAGCATTCTATGTTCTAAGGTCCCTTCCAGCTCTGACATTCTATGTTCTAAGGTCTCTCCTGGCTCTGACATTCTATGTTAAGGTCTCTCTCAGCTCTGACATTCTCTATTTTCAGGACCCTTCCTGCTCTGACATTCTGTGTTCTAAGGTGTCTCCCTACTCTGACATTCTGTGTTCTAAGGTCCCTTCCAGCTCTGACATTCTATATTCTCAGGTCCCTTCCTGCTCTGGCATTCTATGTTCTAAGGTCCCATTCAGCTCTCACCTAACATTTTACGTTCTAAGTTTCCTTCTAGCTCTGATATTCTGTGTTCTCAGATTCCTCCCATTCCTAACGTCTTTGAATCTATGCTATGAACCTGTCCAAGGTCAGTTAATGGTCAAGCCTGGACTAGAACCCAAGCCTCCTGATGGCCCGGTTCAGGCCTCCTCTTGCCTGCTCCCTCAACACCTGCAGAGCCCATGCCTACAACCCCATCCCCTAATTATATGCCGAGGGGTAGCCACCCAGAGGCGAGGAAGATAAGCCAATTCACGGGAGTGTGTTCGTGCGTTCCCTCCTCCTCGTGCTAAGGTCTTTGGGCAGCCTCTAGCCCTATGTGCTGAGGAGGGGCATGCCTAAGACACATCCCTTCAAGTGATTCTTTGCAGAGATGCCAAGGATGCTGACAGGCCAAGCTTGGGGCCTCACCTGATAATGGGCCAGGGTATTGAGTCTTTTCCAGTCATTGTCTATCTTGGTGGTTACATCCTCGTCCTGCAGGATGATTCTGGCCATTCGGCCCTGGCGCCACTCTATACAACGGGAGGAAAATAAGGGGAAGGTTGATACTCAAGAAGAGTCAGCAAAGATAAGCAAAAGTCAGGGAGGCTGGGGAGTGGGTCTTCTGTTCTTATCCACCCTGATCAAGGGCTTCCTGAGATGAGTCAGGAGAGGGAACCAAGGCAAGAGGCTGGCATTCCTGCCATGGCAGCCAGAAGGCTTTCATGACACCACATAGATGGGCAGGGCAGGACTGGCAACATGAGCCCTTCCCCTTCTGGGGGCATAATGCTGGGAAATTACCTTGGACATACTCCACCTAGAAAGCAGAGGCTGAGCTCAGGCCCCACCCAGCCACGGCTGTCTCTGACACCCATTCCAGAGGACACAGAATTAAGCAGCCCCAAGTCCCATGTGGTTATTTGGTGGGAAGGATAAAAAGGACACCTAGTGCTATAGCAGAGGAGTCTGAAATGACTTAACATGACCACGTCTATCGTCGACCGTCCAAGGGACCCAGGATAAGTCATTTGGCCCCCAAGGCCTCTGATGTCCCTTAAAACTCTAAATCTGTGATTCTAAGGCCTGGTTTCTTGTGGAGAGGGTGGGCTCAGAAACCACTGCCTTACAGGAGCCATGTCTGCACCTTCCCTTGTCTCCCCAGAATGGAGAACACAGGGATAGACACCCGTTAGGCATGCCTCTGCAACTTTGGTCATGCTGGACCCCAGGGTCTCCCCTTCAATCTTGCCCATCATGTAAGGTTCAGCTCAGGCACCACCTCATTGCTGAAGCCTTCCTTGAACCCTCCAGCCTGCTCTGATCCTTCCCTTCTTGGCATCATTAAAGTAATTTTGGTCTATACCATACAATTCAACATTTGACTCTAACCATGTGAGTATTATTTCTCCAAGACATCCGCCTGGGCATCACCTGATTTCTGGGGACCAAAGAGGTTGGGTAGGGGCTGCCTTGGCCCCAGAATCCACAAGCCCCTGCTGGGGTACTCCTCGAACCTCTGCCGAGCAGGCCCCTGGGTCCTCTGGAGAAACATGCAGCTGCCAGCTGTCCCAGACTCAGGAGTCTCTAACCACTCCCACCCCCAGACCAGACCACACTGGCCTCGGGCTCACCCAGGTCCATATCCCCGGCCTTGGGTCTCTGGGAGTATGGAACTCCCTTGTAAACAGCATCCAGAAGCTTCTCTTTCACTTGCGTGATGGTGTCGCAGTTCAGCACCTTGACAGGGATCTCCGGGGCGTTCTCATTCTCCGGATTCACACAGTTCAGTGTCTGGATTGGGGCAGAGAATGAATAAAGAGGCGAAGCATTGAGGGTGGGAAGGGTGCTCTCCTGAGGCCCCCGGCCAAAGGAGGGTCCACTTCTTTCTCATTTACAGCAGCTGTCGCTGCTCTCCCTGCATTCCATCCCTCCCTCCTGGCCCCGGACAGCAGGAAGGGATACTCGCCCACCAGATTAAAAAGGGTCGGGTCATTTCAGAGCCGGCCACCATTCAGCAAAGGAACCTTAAAGGTCACATGAAGGGAGGAAATACCAATGAGAAGGATGGAATGCCTTTAAACTCCCACAGCTGTCATCATGGGTTATTCTCCTGATGCGCCACTTAATCACATACTATCTCATACACTAGGAGGTCATACAGTGTTGTGGGAAGAGGAGACCACTCAGGGTCAGGAGGCCAGAGCTGGAGTCCCAGCTCCGTGATTTGTTGGCTACAGGTGCTCAATAAATGCCCTGCCTCCTCTTATGGCGCTCCAGGGATCAGATGAGATCATGGAGACACGAACGCTTGGCAACTTGTAAAACATTACACGCAGAAGATCATAAAATAGATTTAGACATCAGAGGTCACTCAGTCTGACCCCCTAATTTTACAGGATTAAAGCACACAACTAGAGGTGACTGAGGCAAGATTTGCTTACTATCCACTGTATCAGATTACTATCCACTGTATCAGAGCGCCTCTTAAAGATGAGCATTACTGTTTTTTAATCATGTCACCTAGGTGAGTTTTGTCTCCCACGTCTTCTTCCCCTGTAAATACTCTGTCTACTGACCTCTATTCTCTGCCATCAGGCTTGGCAAAGGGCTGGGCCCATGGCATTTGCTCTGGGAATTCTTGATGAATAGATATCAAACTCCTGGCTGGACTTTGAAAACTTTAAGGGAATAGGAGAGATCCCAGATGACAAAAAGGACTCAGGTATGCAAGATGGAAACACGGAGAGACGTAGAAGGGAACCCAAAGGTGGACGGTCACTTTAAAGTAGCCATGTTCAGTGCTGAGGATGACCCAAGAGCACTTGGGGAACCCTGCACAGGAAGGTCAATGACACACATGCCCCAAAGCCCTCCTTCTCCTCCCTACCAACCCCCCACAAGCCTGCAGGGCCAATGGGGACCCCTCAAGACAATGGAGATGGCCACTTTTAAGCCGAAAGGGCCTAGCGGGAAAGATAAGGCAGAACCTGACTCACCAGCATCTTGTAGTCAATCTGCTGGCGGATGAGTTTGTCTTCACTCAAGGAGTAGCGGGCCTCGCCAGTGATGGCATCAATTGGACCTTTCTCCATCTGTTGCTTGATGGCGCAATACAGCATAAAGAGAGGCTCCCCTGCACACTCCTGAGGTTGGAGAACACAGAAAGGAACCTTGGTCAAGGAAGAGTTTCTAGCAAGAGACTCTATAACCTTCCTGGTGGCGGCAATTCAAGAACTGAGTCACCATCCCAAACCAAGCAGATGAGCTCCATGAGGAATCTTGAGAGCCTCACTTCCACCAGGAAGCCCACCTCAATTGATCCATCTTCCACTGACCTCCCCCATCTCTGAATTCCCACAGCATTTATCATCCATCTGAACCATGTGTTTATTGTTCTCTAATAACTGATTTTCTTTTTTAAATATTCTATTTTTTCATTACATGTAAAAACAATTTTGACATTCTTTTTTCAAATTTTGAATTCCAAATTCTTTCTCTCCCTCCCTCCCTGTCCCCTCCCATTGAGAAGACAAGTAATTTGATATAGGTTATACATGTGTAGTCATGCAAAACACATTTCCATGACATACTACTTTTCTAAATGTTTCAAGAGTATGACTTACCATCCCCCATCAATACCCCACTGTACAGGCTGTGACCCCTTACCCCCACTCCTCTGAATCCCAAGCTTCCTCCAAAGCTCAGCTTAAACACCCTCTCCTACATGAGGCCTTCCTGAATCCCACCCCCAGTTACTGCCTCTCCCTCCCCCTGCCAAAATCATTTTGTCAATATTCTATGTCTATTTCTCCATGTTTCCCCTGGTAGAGTGTAAGCTTTCTGAGGTCAGGTACTGTTTTATTTTTGTCACAGCACTCTAAGTGCCTAGCAAAGTGTCCAGGATATAGGAGCTAAACAAAAGCTTGTTGATGGTGTGACTGACTGACATGAGCTGTGCTTGCCTAACACAGCCAGGAGGACTTTGTTATCTCCTCTTGTATCCCAAGTGGCCCTTGGCACAGGACTGAATGTATGTTGTTCCCATTGCCTGGAATTCTATGCTCCTCTTGCCCCTGCCCCCACCTCTTAGCCCAGGCTCTACCTGTCCAGATTCTATCCATTCTCCAAGGTCCAGCTCAGCTCCCACCCTCTCCATGAAGCCTTCAGTGATTTCTGCTTCCTCCAGCATCCTCCAGATCTTATTATCTACATGGCATAATTATGCACCTAATTCTATACTGCCTCATAAAGTCAACACTGCGTCATTTCCCCTCTTGGATTCCCTCTCTATGTTACAGAGTTTCTTATGAGCATCAAATGAGATTATCTGGGGAGGGGGGAGGTGAGGAAGAGGGTCTGGACCTGGATTTGATCCATGGAAGGAACTCCCAGTGTGATAACTTCTTCCACTCAATGAAGGTCAGCAACTCATCTATAACTTAGAGTTTTAGAGAAAAAGTCACCTAAGGCACTGAAAGGCTGTGGAAAGATTCGAACCCAGGTATTCCTGACTCTCAGTCCAGGTTACTCTCGACAATTCATCATCCAATGAAATCACATATGCAAAATGCTCAGCAAAGTACAATGTGTTTATATAACCGATATCAAATTGTTTACCATCTTGGTGAGTAGGGAGATAAGAGAGGGAAGATGAAAACTCACAACTCAAATTTATTTTTTAAAAATGAACATCAAAATGTGTCTTTACAGGTAATTGGAAAAATGAAATACTATTTCAAAATGCAGGTGATAGGAAAACAAAACATCAATAAAATTTTGAAAAATAAAAAAAGTGTAATGAGTTACAACAGCAGTTATTCATCTTATCACGAGACAGTTAAGTTCCTTGAGGGCGGGGTCTGGCTGTCTTGATTTTCTACATATTGCTGCAGTGCCCAGCACGGAGTTGGCACATGAAATAACCAACATCACCAACATGGTTCAGATATACTGAGCATCTTGTCCAGTATACAAGGAGGCAGAAGAGATACTCTGCTTCCAAAGAGCATTCGAATCAATTCAATTCAGAGGCAGCAGCCTGGTGTCACATACAAAGGACTAGACTTGGAGACAGAAAGATCTGGATTCCAATTCCATCTCTGATATTTTAACATGTGACCTTGGACAACTCACATAAATCTCTCTGTGGCTCAGTTTACTCATTTGTAAAATAAGGGGCATGAGACTTGACCTTTACTAAGGACCCTTCCAGTCAGAAATCTACGAGCCTGTGACTTTGTTGAGTAAACGGGAATTCAATTTCATATTTCTTTATATTTTTTCTTTTATATTTCTTTTATATTTTCATTTATATTTCTTCATGTAAATATATTTGTGTTTTTATAAGTATATTTATATATTTGTGTTTTTAGAAATGTATTTGTTTCTATAAGTATATTTATTTACATTTACCTAAATATATTTGTTTCTATATTTCTTTATATTTATATAAATGTATTTGTTTCTTTAAGCATATTTATATATTTAAATTATATGGATGCATTTATGTTTCTATAAGTATATTTATTTTTATACATGTATTTGATTCTATAAGTACGTTTATATAAATATTTATTTATACTATATAAATGTATTTGTTTCTATAAGCATATTTATATTATATGGATACATTTATGTTTCTGTAAGTATATTTATTTTATTTTTATACATGTATTTGATTCTATAAGCACATTTATATAGATATTTATTTATATTATATAAATGTACTTATATTTCTATAAGTATATTTATATACATGTATTTGCTTCTATAAGCATATTTATGTAAATATTTATACTTATCTAAATGTATTTATGTTTCTATAAGTATATATACCTATTTATTTATCTTTGTATTCCTTTCTATTTTGTGTGAGAGGCTCGGAGTAAGTGGCAATGAGTATAAGGAATGAGTAGTCTAGGAATCCCTGGAGGCAGTGGGAGCTGAGCAGGACCATGAAGGAGGAGTCAGCCTGAGTCACTCAAGAGTCATGTTCAGCAAACACCTGTCGCTTGACTATGTGAAGGGATGATGTGGAAGAAAGGATAGTGGATGGCGAGTCCTAGAACACCCAAGTGGGATGCCTGGCTCTGGAAGGTATCGGGCCTTAGATAGGCTGCTTAACCTCTCTCAGGTTCCACTTCCAGCACTAGAGGGTTATGAGCCTACGGTCCCAAGCAGTGGCCCTGAGGCCATGCTGTGGCCGCTGCCCGCTGCTGGGTCTGCCCACTTGGAGGGCCAGCTAAAGCAGAATCTCCCAAGTAGACCTCCCTCCGTTGCCGCTCAGGGATGGAGGCTGGGCAGCAAAGCAGGTAAGGGAGGATTTTCAGTGGGAGGGAGGCGGAGAAGTTCCAATAGCCTCTTCCCTCCTCCCAGGCCACCTTACAAATAAATTGTCCTTTGGACCAAAGTGCACCGCTCCCCCTGTCACCATATGCTGTTAGCATCTCGTTAGCATCTGCGGTAATTAAAGAGACAGCTGCTAACGAGCAGGAGCATGCATATATCATCCCGAGACCTTCCGACAACACGCCTGTCTTTGAAATTATGTTTCATTTGCAAACTCGGCTTCATTAAGTCAGCTTCGGGAGAGGGGGAAAAAAGGGCGAGGGAGAGCAAGAAAGACGACCCAATTTGGAGCCCGGGAGCCACTTATTAATAGCTGTCTCTCTTCCTGGAAGATGCAAAAGCAAAAATAATGACCGAAAAGGCAAACAGCCTTGTAAGCCGTCGTCCAGCAGAACCAAACGTCTGCCTCTGCCTTTCATGTTCCTAAACTCTCGGCCTTTCTGCTCTGATCTCAGGATGGAGAGGAAGCACGTCCTCCAAGTTTTAGGCACCGGGAGGCCGGCCCCTGGTCAAAGCTGGGGGGGAAAGTGTAGGAGAAGTAAGAGGAGACCCACTGAAGTGGAGATGTGAGGATAGGTCCAACCTCCCCGACAACACGGAAATCTATCCTATCTATGGGGAGTGCGGACTGTGTGACTTTAAGTCACATCTCTCTGATCCTTAGTTTCCCCATCTGTAAAATGAAGAAGCTGGTCTTAATACATGAACTCCAAGTAAATCACTCTGAATGCCATGGATCTATATTATTTCACTGAGCCTCAGTTTCCTAATCTGTAAAATGGAGATAATATCAACTTGCTTATCTCATAAGGCTGTTATTAAGGGACAATAGGAAGCAAAATACATAAATTCTTTGTAAAATATAAAGCATAATATTAATATTATTATTTCTCCTTATCCAAGGGGCTTTGTCCTCCATGTTCTACTCTACCTGAATCAATGCTGACTTCTTCCATGAAGTCCTCCCTGATATAATGATATGATGAGAATCCCTCAGGATTCTGAACCTGAGAATCACGAAACCCGGGTTCTGCTCCTAGCTGTGTCACCTTGGACAAGTCACTCCTCCCTCCAGACCTCAATTCCCTCATCAATAGAGCAAAGATGACAGACAATATGGGGGGGGGGGGGGGACACTCCTAAGCTGTTTTTGTGTCCTGGACCTCCACCCCCAAATCCAGAGTCTGATGAAGCCTACGGACCCCTTCTCAGAAGAATATTTTTAAATGTATAACATACATGGGATTACACAGGAAACTAGTCATGGTGAAATAGTTACCAAAATAGTAAAAAAAAAAAGAAAAAAGTTCATAGACCCAAGGTTAACAATCATGTATACTAAAATTATCTTTATAGTTCTGACATTGTGTTCTAAAGTCTCCTTCAGCTCTAACAATCTATAGTTTAACATTCTATAGAATGTTCTAAAGTCCTTTCCATCTCTGCCATTCCATGTTCTAAGGCCTCTTCCATCTCTGCCATTCCATGTTCTATGGCCTTTTCCATCTCTGCCATCCCATGTTCTATGGCCTCTTCCATCTCTGTCATTCCATGTTCTAAGGCCCTTTCCATCTCTGTCATTCCATGTTCTAAAGCTCTTTCCATCTCTGACATTCCATATTCCAAAGCTCCTTCCATCTCTGCCATTCCATGTTCTAAAGTCTTTTCCAATTCTGACATTCTCTGATACAAGATCTTTTCTGGCTCTGACAGTCTATATCCTAAGGTCCCTCTGGTCCTGTATTCTAATATTATACTCCTATATTCCAAGGTCTACATATAATATATAGCATAG